ATCAGCATCATCTGTTATCACCGTGGTGATGGTGTTGGTATTTGTCTTTGCCTTTTATTTTGTTTTTTCCATGAAACATTTTTTAACAGTTTATGATGTGTATAGATTGGATACTCTCCGATATTCTTTTACGGAATCAATTAATTGACATAATTTCCAAGACATTGTCTTAAGTGACATGGATCCCATTATAGTAAATGTTATGTTGATACAGCAATTGAAGTGGATTCCCAAGAACGCCTCTTTTTGCGGTGTTTGAATCTTTGTAACATCTCAGTGATAGACATCTCACTGACATCAGGTGCTGTTGTGCTAAAAATGTTAACAGGTAAAATCTGTGGAAAAATCTTTACATTTGTTATAGTTTGTATAATAATGATAGATGAAATAGTAACATAGTTAATCTTTCTAGTGTTTTGTATTAAAGATAAACACCCCTGTATATGATTTAGATATATAAGGATAATTTGAAGCAGCAAAGTATTTACCGCCCTTGTTCACAATGGTATGTAAAATTACATTCTCTTTAAATGTTAAAAATACTCCTTTATTCAAAATCTCTCAATATATTTAAAATAGTTGCTAATTGGAAATATGACATTATTCATCTTTCTTTGTCCTGTTAGGGAGAAGACAACTTATTCCCTAAGTTATAATTAGTAAATATAATAACTACAGTTATTAGTGGCTTAAAATACCAGAAACACCCCAAAATTGTCTTCAAACCATTTTTTTAACCAAGATCTGACAGCCATTGTGGAAAGTTACATTCGTGAGATTGGATGCTCAACAATGAGAATCTTAATTGTTTAAGTATATTTTTCAGTGGCTGTTGGGTGTAGCTTAAGATGGTTAGAATGTATTATTATTTCTAAAAGTGAGTTAAGAAAGCACTCCGATACAATATTGAAGGTGTTTATATTTTAACACTACCTTTGTATAGGTGGTTTTATGTACCTTTAACCATCACAAACCAAATAACATTTTCTTTGTATTTAAAAAACTGATAAAATATTTGATTACGTGTATTTTAATATATATATATATAGAGTGGTATGGATGTTGAATTTATATCTTTGACATCTTTTCACCAGTTTGCAATAGGTGACCTAAATGATCAATTTCCAAATTCATCATGTATATCACCTGGATGGGTTAATCCCTAATACTCTTTTACTTTCCATTGACTGGCCTTGGCTCTGGCAGACTGAATATTTTTATCATTATAAATAAACTTTATGATAGTTGAAGTAAAGTTTCTGCCTGTCTTAACTGTTTTTAACTGTTGAAGTATTTCACTTATATTAATTATACCACTCTGCAAACTTAAACGAATATCGAGTAGTTTCTGTTTTAATAAAAACATTTCACATTTTCTTTTAAGGTTTAAACCTTATTCATTATTGCAGTTGTTATTGCAATCATATGATCTTTAACTATCATGATTCAATTATTCATCTGGGTAATTAGCTGTTATGCTCTTATACGCAAGTTTAATATATTTGTTTGTAGGCCAGACTGCAGCTGCATATGGCATTTTAGCAATAATCTTCAATTGCGTTTCAGATATTCACAAAGTCTATCCACCTTTGTAATTAACACATAATGTGTTTATTTTATACCATTAATTATAGTATCTGTATTATATTACACATCGTCACTGACACATTTCTGATACAGGGACAAAAATAGCATGATTGCTTTAGTAATTATAATTTTCTGTCCATGCACCACATTCCTGGAAGTCCAGAATATAGCAATAATCCGTTGTCGTTTGATTCTATGGAGCCATTTAACGTTTCATTGGTATAGTTATACCAAAAGAGCAAGGAGTACGACGGTAGATCACATCTGCAACAGAACCATTACAGATTCCTTGTTGTATCAATGTCTCTGTCTTTATGTTTACAGGAGGTCCTTGCTTTGCAGGTATGTACAAGTTTAAGAAAAGCTGCAAATCGTGCTTTAGTACAAGTGTCCCATGATGTCAGGTTTCTGAAAGATTTTGCTGGTCTTTTTATATTCCATTCTCTTGGCAGGGCATCTGCTCTTAGTAGGCCGGTATTGTTATTATTTATTAATTGCATCAAGGTTTCTTTCGTTAATTGATGTGTTTCTTCCAAATTCAAATTCATATGCCACCAAATGTCATTGTAAAGTTCAATGTTACAGAATATTGTTCCAGGATGGTTTTTCTCTCTAGTAGGAAATCTATATTCCTCTTCTTCTGATCCTTCCTATCAACCACTTTTTCTGAGTTGTAGTTAACAATCTGTGTCTTGTACTGTGAGGTGCTTTGATAGTCAATCTGGTTTTGTCAGTACCATGTTCCATCTTGAAAAACAGCTGGGTGTTGACAGTTATCAGCCTTTATTTCTTTTTCCGGTCATCTTCTGTCTGGAGACATAATAACAATGTCCAGAATTAGCATAGCACTTCTTTTCAGCATAAGAAGGCTGTTTGCAGTAGTCACTTAATGATAAACTATACGGCAAAGTCTTTTCTTAATCACCTTCATAGGTGCATCCAAAGTCTTTCACAAGCATCTATCTCGTCTTTTTCTGTTTTCAGCATGCTTTGCCATCATCGTTGAGTCCATTATTAGGATTTGAAATAGTTCAATCACATCTTTCTCACGTATAATCGTTTTTTGGAATGATCTCAATAGGTTCCTTGTGAAATACCAGTGTAGGTCACATTAGCAATCATTTCACTGTGAGCTGTGTCTCTCCTTTTGAGATAGTTCTTGGAGGTAGTCCTCACGATCAAAGAACTTGTATAGTGTGTTATATAGTCCTGCTTGTTAACATAATCCCAATGCAGTTTTAAAACGACAGCTAGGGTTGATGTTATGATAATACTGCAGATTGTAAGAAGGAGACACCATAACCAATTTTCTAGCATCCTTTTGCTTCCATCTTTGCATTTCTTTCTTACTGTACAAGATAATTCAGGTTCAGTCTGTTTTCTCCAGAGTCTTTCTTATAATGATGTTGATGATTCATTTTTCATTCATTCCATGTTAACTGTGAATGTATCACGTCTGTCTGTTCATCCTTCTCCTTCACATTTGCAGGTTCAGATGTCAGATCATGATTCAGTCTGTCTATGATTCTGGTGGCTTTTCTGTCGTCCTCTGTTTGTTTTATCTTGCCATCTTTAACAGCATCCATTGTGTCAGTCAGTGGTTCTGTGAATGTCCTTTTAATATTTAGCAGGTTGTAAAATATCAAAACTTACTGTTCTCTGTTGGGTCTGATTGTTCTCTGTAGTAAAAGTTCTTGGTATCACCCTCTCCAGGACAAACTGGCCAACAGAAGGAAATAGGTGGTGGTGCAAGGCGAAGTGGACTGGAAAAAAAAAATTCCCTAAATTTCTCTAATAGAACCAATGGTTCTAAGCTCTCCCTGGTGCAGAAATATATTTGTCAGTGAAAAACATGTAACATTTCATATGGTGTCTCACCATTTGTATCATCAGGTATGTTGTGAATGCTCATCTGTACCATAGGAATAAATAGATACCACTGTGTGGGGCAAGCAACTAGTAACTTGGTTAATAATCATTTAACCTCAGCATTCTCCCAGACCACAACCCCACATCTTTGGGGGTGGTTGGGGCACTGAAATCCCAAACTAACCCAAATGTGGTTGCCCAGTTTTAGGTTTCCTTTGCAGTAACTGCAGGACCACCATCCAAATGGATGGTCCTGGGATTATCAAATGCATACTAAGGAAGTGAGACTAGAAAACGTGGCATCAGAGGTTGCACTTCGCACAGGATATATCCAAGTAAACCTGGTACATGCATCAACACATACAAAAACATATTTATAACCATGAGATGTTGGCAGACTTTCAATATATAGTAATTCAAAAGTATGTTGGATATTAATATTTCAATAAACAATACATCAGTAATGTGGCAATAAGCAAATGCTTATGATTACTAAACACATGAATTACAGTATTTCCCATATTGTGACCACCAATATTCCTTTTCAGGAGTCAAAAGTACATTACCTCTCTCTATAAGAGCTTGTCCTAGCCATGAAAAAGCTTTTAGGGCAAGTCCATCTTTCCTCTATAGGAAGAACAACCAACATATTACCTTCAATGGTTATTATGTAATTAACCCCTCTAAACGATAGGAGTATTTATGCGGATACCAGGTGGATAAGGTCTGGATATCCTTGCAAGCATAAACTCTGCATCATGACTGAGAGATAGGGTATGCGATGTGATCCAGTGACCACAGAAAAGCGTTGGTAGACACATTGCATCAAAGTGCCTGTTAACGACATGAGGAGAGGGACCATGCTTTGTTATAAGCATGTCCATACACGTATTACAATGCCAGGCTTTCAATTTGTTATCACAAAGCAAAACGCAGTTGTGGATATAAACCCACGACGTATCGTAAGAAAAACTGTTTGAACACCAGACTGAGACTCGAGATCAGTGAACAGTGGACCAAAATAGATAAATTAAATCTTATCAATTAATATAGTTTCAATATACTTTCTTTAAATTACTTTATCCTCTGTATTAACTATGAAATATTAAAGTTAAAACAATAACATTTAAAAGCCAACTTTTAGTGTGGATAGGAATTACAAGGCCGTTCATAATGGGAGATAAAGAACAGCTTTTTAAAACCGAATAGTCTGTGAACACAAAATGACCTTGCGCCGAAAATTCACTTGCAGGGGAAAAACAAAACCTTCTTTTTTTCTTTTTTCTTTAGTAAGTTAATTAATTAATTAAATGTAGTTAGAACCTCCCTCAAAGACCCGATGACTTTGCAAGAAACATGTCGTCCTTAAATACTGGGTAAGTCTATTAAACAGTGACATAGCATTGCTACCCTGTGTATTATGTTGTCACAGCTATAATGTGCAGTATTACAAACTATTTATAAGTGTTGTGCAAACTATTCATTAAAAGCTAGTGGTCTAGTGAGCTATAGAACATTTATTTATTTATTCTTTAAACCTCTGACCTCAATCGGCAAAGCAATATTGTAATGGTGTCCATTGCAATCTGCTGTCTTACTTGCTGCTCTCAAAAATTCTGAATATGTTCAGAGATTTCTTGGGCAATAATAAATCCCCAAAAAACAACAACTTTGCATTTATGCTAAACCTGCCTGTTGTAAACGTATTCTGTATATTTCTTGACATAAGTACTTGTACTTAAATCTGTTTAACAAAGCTGTTTATATTGTGGTGTAATTTTTTTTTTTTTATTATTATTTATTTTATTTATTTATTTTTTAACTTTGCTTAATTTTTAAAGATACCTGCATATTTAATTAAATATCCTTTATATGTCTTTAAGGCATAAAATATCTGCAAATTAAGATTATATACAAAAATGCATGTTCTGGGTGTTCCCGTGATTCCTTTTCTATCATTTATTTATTTTTCAAAAAAAATTTAAGTCTGGAATCTGATTTCTTTTGGGATGAGCACCCCTCTGAGCCCCCCAATTTCAGAGGCTTCTTTGGAGGTGACCACTGAAAAGTATAGATTCTATAAAATAGATGTGAGGGGGCTTTGGACAGTAATGTCACTTTAATTATACTTTTCATATAGCAGATATGTGATATGCAATGTGATTTAATATATCAGAGTATTATCACTTTAATTGACACTGCATTTTTTTATGCATTATTCTTTATGCATTATTATTTTTCTTTTTTCTTAAATTTTAATGTCTGTTTAGAATATTGCAGGCTTTGCAATATCAAATTAATTTTGCATTATATATATTCACAATGCCCTTACAACATATTATTAAAATTAGCCTCTTTCAGAATTGTAGAATATGTGGTGGAACTGAATCCCCATATATGAGATTTGAAACTGTATTTTTATTTCTACTCTGTGCCCTAATCAGTATTTATATACATAATTGCAGCAGCATATAGCTTTTAAAGAAGCAATTATTTCACCCTTCATGTGTGCTTGACTGTGGACTTTTTAAAACCTACTCTTTATATTTATTTATTTTAATCCGTTTCTGGCTCTGAGAGAGCAGGCTGCTGAATGCATGTAACTGCTGTTATTGCCTAGTCTACATACTTTTATTTATAAACAACATTGATATATTGAAATATAAACAACTTTGATATTTAATCTTATTTTATGAAATTCACTGAGATTACATGTGTCTGATCGAATTACAGTCAGTAGTACAATATAATTGTTCTAATTTCCTTAGAGCTAGTACGGTGGGATTGTACCAATGATTTAAGTAAGCTTTCCCTTTTAAAATTGGTGGACTTTAATCCTGCCATTGCAATAGACTAAAGACTGTACCTGAGTAAGCAAAGTCATTATGTGCAGGAATTGTGCACTTTAAATAGTAGAATACTTATGCTATTCTAGTGAATTGGGCTGGCTAATTAACACATCATTTAGTATCGTTTGGTCACAGTTAAAGCTGTAAATGTATTTAACATTTTATTTAAATAAGCCTTTAATAATTTCGGTTTAAAAGTTATCAGAGATCCTGTCTAGTTACCATTTTATTTTGCCCTGATTTATCTTACATATATATTATTTGTAATTATTTTATAAATAGTTATTTTTGCAGAGGATTTAGAGAAGCAAAGGATGTATAACCACCTGTTGCCCTTTTTTCTAGAAGGGTAGTATAATTTCAACTCTGTTTAGGAAAAAATATAAGCTAGTTATCTTATATTATATAACATATATGCTGCAGTATACTGCATTGTACTGCACTCAATGTATTTAAAAGCCATGTCTTTCTCTTTATGGCTGTATGTAATAATGTTGTTCATAATTTGGAATATAAAACAACGACTTCTCAATTCCTTGGAATGTTTACATGTCTCTGTATCTCTGCAACCTTGGCTGGAAATTCCAGACTCCAAAAATAGTTATGCTGTTATAATTCCTGATTTTCAATCAACAGCTAGCCTAACTGACAATATGGAAAATATCACTGTTTTATAAAACTTTTCTTATATAGTGGACATTAGAATCCAGAATGCAGTAATGCAATAATTAAAAATCCTGTCTGTCTGTTGCATGAATGTTTTCATGAAGCCATAATGCATTTTTTCTTTGCATTCTTGGAATTAGACTTCAAATTTCATCGCTCTGTCTTATCACTTTTCTTTTGACAACATTTTGCATTAATCTTTTTCCTGCGCATGCATACTAAGCAGCTACAAAGAGAACATATCCCCCTGTCTGCAATCCACTGTCCTGGAACTAACGGGCCATGCTATGCTGGTGTATTAGGCATTTGTTCTATTATGATATTAGTTAAGATCCACAATTTCAGCATTGTATGCTAATTACGTTGTACCTGGCACCTAAACTCACAGTGCCTTGTTCACATTAAAATCATCTCTAATGATCTCTCTCTGAGTCTGGGCTACAAGTAGCTCAATAGATTCTTGATATTTCAAGACTTGTGCCATGACAAAGTATTGTGTCTTCTCTTACGTATAAGAGGTTACCTAGGTATTTATTTTATATTTAAATCTTCCAAGTACAAAGTCCCTTCGTGGTCGCCAATTGTAACCGTGTGTGGTTCCCTTATTTACCACTATAATGTCTTAAAGCATAGAACTTAGTAGGGCTAACCATACAGATATCTTAGCCATAATTTTATATAGTGTAAGAGATCCTCTATTTAACATATATAAATAATTGAGAATACAATATAAAATAAGGATTGTCTTGGAAGCAAGATTGTCTTTTGGATATTTATTATATAAAAATATAAAATCCATTATAGCAGAGTTTATAAGATTAAATTACATGCTTGCAAATATCATTAATAGGTTAACATACCCTTCTGAACATGTCATCATGTCAGCCTCTCTGTCATTTTAAGATGGAGCAGCGTCTGTCTCCAAGTCTCTCCTCTGTATCTTAACATTTAAAAGTACACCTATTTATACCTTAGGTGTCTCCATTTTAGGTTAATGTAGTTCAAATATGAAAAAGTAACACTTCTTTTACTTTATTCAATTTAGGTCCTCCCTTAATTTGGCAAACATACAAGGCCATAACTAAAGGGTAAATTTTCCTGACTTAGTTCAAGATGGCATCTTAAAGTCTGAATAGGTTATCTGTTGTTTATACTAAGTCGTAAGTGTACAGTCGCGGGAGATTCCGGATTTGGGGAAGTTCCATTAACTTGGGGTTACCACAGTATATTGTGTACTGCAAGAGTCGTAGTATAGCCTTGAAGCTTGTTTATGCATTATTGTTATTGTAATTCGTCTGGGACAAAATGGTGCAAACATATTATGCACTGAGGTTATTGCTTAAAGAAACAGTTATGAAAAATAATATGTTCCATTTCTAACACCTTGTCAGTTTGCAATATCTCTTAAAGACAAAGTACACAGTTTAAGAAATACAACATTTCATTCTAAAACTTGTAATATTTGCATTTGCCCGTAACAAAAGCATTTTCAATAGACTACGGAATAGGTGGCCCTGTCCGTCCTGGTTATATACAGTGATGTTCAAGGTGGCTTACACACGGATAAATAACTTTAAGTAATTTGTGTTTTGGTTAACTAAGAAATTGAAAAGATGCAAGATGGTCTCTATCAAACAGGTTTTCTCCTATGTGGATATCTAGCTTGAAGTCATGCCTGCAAATTGAATGATGCTACAAAAAAGGATTAACCCACAAAGGCAAATCTTCATAGAGCAGTCAGTGGCATGGAACAGACTTAAAGCAGTGTTTCTCAACCTTTTATGGGGAAATATCCCTGGAGGTCTAAAATAATCCCTATGTACGCCTACCTTGAGAAAGGTAATCCCATATGGGGAACAAGTCACACTCACTAACAGACACACTTTCACTGATTTCACGCACACTGACAGGCACACATTCGGTGACAAACTCTCACTGATTTGACACATGCTCTCAAATAGTTGACACACAGTAACAGACACACACTAACGGACAGACACATACACATGCTCTCACACACACTCACAAATAACTAGTTTTTTATTATTTCTATTTAAGTCCACCCAAATTCCTTACCTTTTGGAGAGGTGAACTTTCCCTGGGTCAAATATGCGTTCTCTTGCAAAAGTGCTCTCTCGGATGCTTTTAGTGATGCCAGGGCCGATGTGATGTCATAACCCAGCTCTGGGCATCAGCACATGGTACGCGGGGGAACAGAGCTGGAAGATCATGAAGAGAACAGCTCCCTCACCACCTCCATTCTCCATCAGCCGTCTGCCATCTGGGGGGCGCGTGGTGTGAGCTTGCCTCTGGGTATTCATACCATGGATTGAGAAACTATGACTTAAAGGACAACTGTCACCTTAAAACTATTTTTACTATTATATTCCTGTCATTAAGTTTTGAAAGGAATTTTATAATATATATATATGTGGAAGGCTATGCCTGAAATTGTGGGAGGGACTATTGGTCCGATTTAAACCCAGTAGCCCCTGCTTACCTGTCGTCAATGATTTTGGAAGTTCCACTGTTCTACTTCTGGTTCACAGGACCCTGACGTAATTTTCCCGCCCGCCGGCAGTCAGTACGAACTACTAGCCCAATTGCTTTTGAGCAAAGTTTCGTGTGTATTGAGAAAAAACGAACCCAGCCAGCAAACGAACGGGCTAACTGTAAGTAGTTTTTTCTTACACGAACGCACTCAATATCATTTCGTTAGTCGAATTAATTTTGTTTAAAATTTCGTGTATTTTACCCCTGTCGGTTAAATAATGTTTTAGTCTGCTCCATTCATGTATTACGGAAAAATTTTAATTCGTATGGGAAACAGATGAACGACAGGCTATGGGTCTCATGTACTGATATACAAACACTTCACATGATAATAGGCTATTGCGTTTGTGCCCAAAATCACAGTATTAATTTGTATAAAAGGCTCAGTTCGAGTAAACCCCTTGCTATTCATTCCCTAAAAGTTAAATTTGTTTCCTTCACACATTATAGTTTGGCAATTGTTGGCTGCAATTTAGGTCAGTTAAACTACCATAAATTCATTCCCATCAGAGGGTTACGTTTTATCCTTCCTATTATAAGCCAACCTAGTTTCTGTCATTTTCACTACGTTAGTCCAGTCACGTACATTTTATCGCTTCCACAATATGTAACAGTTGCATATATTCTACTCTCATATTCTTAAATGGATCACGTTTTCTTTTATTGTATTATTATTATTTGTTCAGTTAGATGCCTGATTTAAT